TGAATGTGGGACATTCCCAACTCCCTGTTCCCTGTAGAGGACGATGGGGTAAGGCTGCCTAGCGTGTAGTTGACAAGAAACGTTCTTATAACACTATAATGCACGGAACTTCACAGCCACTGATCCATATGGTTTCGTGGCGTGGTGACTAAACTCAGCAAAAATGTACTTTTTCCTTCCGTTTTTAATTAATTAATTAGTCGGATGAGGTGAGTCTGAGTCCACTTGGTACGCAGGTCACTACTGGGCCTATTGTATTAGCCCCAGATGGTGGTGGTGGTGGTGGTGGTGGTAGATGTGTGGTGGTGGTGGTGGTAGATGTGTGGTGGAATGAGAATTGGCAGAGGAAAAGTAAGTACTCTCAGTAACCCTGGCATAGTACCACTTCGCCCATCACAAAGCCCACATGTTTTGACCTGGAACCGAACGCGAGCTGCTGCGGTAGAAAGATTGTGACTAACCTTGTTAGCTTTCTTAAATTTCTATGCCCAATTTTTAGTCTAACTTTATTTTTTTTTTCTTTAGAATAAACCTAGGCTTATGATGTCACCATTCTTTGTGTATGTATGTATGTATGTGTATGTGTGCGTTTTCGAGGGAGGTGCTGATTGAATACATGCAGACGTTACCTAGTGTAGTATCCTAACTTCATACACAGTACGGTAAAATACAGGTATCATCAGTAAATATGTAACGTTTTGATAGTTTGCGAGGAGCAAAGAAGGTTGTTTATATTTGGTATAACTTTACCAAGAGAAGACCACACAAATCATCCACTGTACTCATGATTAGCATTGGTTGTTATAAATGATGTGAACCATCATAAATTAACATCACTTTCATCTCGTGTTTATTGTGTTCCTTCTGCTTGCGATTAGGCAGTTTTGTGAGGTCGTCACTGAGAGGGCAACTTATTTTTGTCCTACTACAAGTCGGTGTGCGATTTCTAATTGCAGACTTCATAACGCCATCCAACATGTGTCTGTGATTATGAAGTGGCATTAAGTAACAGAATCGTTATGTTTTTGAAAACAAAATATATGAATACTTTATAACCGGTGCTACATTGCTCTCATGTTACACAATTAGCGTTCTTACGCACTTCCTAACTAGGTATCATTTTGCTTGAACACGCCACTTTGTTTCGCTGGGAGTTCGGAAACTTGCAACGGATGTTCCGCCATTTTGCACCAAGTACATTAACTTAGTGATAACGCGGTTGACTTATATTCTCAGGCAACCAGTTCGAACCTCTCTCCGACGTCTGTTACCTTGCTGAAATGTTTCGTGATGTTACGCAGTCTCTCCGAGGGTTTTCTTGTTGCCGGTAATTCGATTTGGCAAGTGTCGCTTCGTGTTTCCGGAGATATACCGCTGTAAATGGACCATGAACCATCAAAGATAATTTCCGTGGCTCTCACAGCAGTTGTTATGAATAGTTCTCTCTTCTGGAAATTGTCATTTAGACCGGTGAAAGTCAATCGACGTTTCGAAGGAACGCGTCTCCTTCATCTACACTTCTACAGGACTGAAGAGTAAACCGAGCTAGAAAGTAGTGTTAAGGAGGCAGCAAACATACAAGCCGAAAAATCGGTTGACTTTTACTAGACTACATGGCGTTATGTCCCAGAAGACAAAATTATTTATAAGCCTTCGAAAGTTCCAGTCGTTTGTACTAATATTTCTTCGGCTATGTATGTACCACCTATATATAATAGAAATTTATATTTCAAATTTATTTCCCTTGCCTTAGGAAGGTCCAGGAAAATCAGGTGGAACGATAATTTAATTGGACATATGAGCTGATCTATGCTAATGATGCAAATTTATTGGGAGATAACATTAAGTACCATAAAGAAATACAGAGAAACCTTAATTGACTGTAGTAAGGGGGTTGGTCTAAAATAAAACGCATAATAAACTAAGTATATATTGTTGTCTCGTCACCAAAATGCAGGACAAAACCATGACATAAAGGTAGGTAACAGATCTTTTGAAACTGTGGCACAGTTCAGATATTTTGGAACGGCAGTGTCAAATCAGAATTTGATTCAAATTTAAATTAATATACCGGAGTGTGGATTTTTCTAGGTGTAAAATGTTTTATTGTATTAGGCTACAAATAAAACCAAGCTTTATTACATTACCTGAGCTACTTGAATGCACACTGTAAGCTTTGAGAAGAACTCACGCTGAAGTGTAGTGGCCGATTTTACGAATTACTTCCATTTTCAGGCTTGATGTTAAGCCGAGCAATCAATCAAGCATGCTGACCCTCGTCTTCGACTGTGAGTATAGAAGCAGTCTTTCCCTCCAAAACATCAGTAGACTTCTACCAGGCTGTACGACCTCACACGTCAGAAGATTGCAGTCTACGTAGTACATAACTGATCTCAGAGCAGACAGTTCTTTATGCGCCTGGTTAATCTACGAAGTACATGGTTATTTTCCAACAAAGTTCTTGGCTGTACACTGCAGTAGGCCTGCCTCTGGTGTTAACTACATGAATGACAAATTTTAATATATGCAAAAAGCGTGCATGAAGGTTAGTGGGTTCTGCAAGATCGCAAAGAAAACATGTCTAAACTTAATGCATTAATTGGAGTACACCGTTTGTCTTCTGTTATTATCTGAGTATATGCTCAATCGCAACATGGCGGTGCATCGTGTGAAAATAACGGAAAAAATTAAAATTATCTCGAGAATTAATCATCCAAATTTTAGTTCGTTTCTTTAATCAGTATATTATTTAACCATGTCTTCTGGATTGGCACTAACCTCGCCTATAAACAGCGGTCGCTCGGTCGGTATAGTTCGCTTGCGAACTGAAAGCCACGGATTTTTTTTTGTCTTCCGGATTTAACGTTAAGGTGAATTTGTCGCTGCGCATAACTAATTAAGCATTATGCCATTAAGGCTATGGGGAGGTGATGTATATACCCATCTATTCTTGAATTCGGCGCTTAGATGGAGGTGACGTTTTGCCGTTAAAATATTTATCTCCGGGTATCGCAGTAAACTACAATTTTTCGAGTAAAATCCTAATTTCATGAAATACATAAACAATAAATAAAGAGTTCTGTTCCGAACATCGTCGTGTAGTGGCAAAATTACTAATAAGTATATAAGAGGTCCTTTGTTTCACCCACCGGAGGAGAAGAATTTCCTCAGTCTTTATGGAAACAACGGTATAGTAACTGCAAATTAGAACACAGTACCTTCTTCCACATCCTTTGAAAGTAATAATTGAAAATCATCAGCATTACATGAGACATGCAGCTGAGAATTCGTCGTTAAGTGCACTGAGAGAAACCACTCACGTCTTCGGATTTAGAAGGTTTCACTTCTCGGAACTAAAACGTTCCTAACGCCTAGGCTAAGCTTACGTGTTTGTCGAACTGTCTGCGACTCGCCGTGCCGCGCCGCAAGTGACTAGTAAATGCAGCGACCGAGATAAAGCCAGCAGTGCAACAACAAGGACAAAGAGCAGGTAAATCCTTCTTTACAGAGCGGCTTCTGTAGGGAAATGTAGTCAGCTGACCCCCTCGCACTTGTATCATGTCTTTTTCAGATGATAATGGGGCATATCCAATAGGGCCGAAGACAAAAGAGACAGAATTACTGCATTCTATTTTCGCCAGGTATAAAGACGGTGATTACGCTAGACCACTAGATCGTACTATCTGTGAAGACTTATGAATTCACTGATTGACAACAATTTTCCCAGCTTTTCTCAGAAGTACAATGAATATCTTTGTGAGATAATTTGCTGTCTTGCACTGTCTTTGTCTACTGTCCGACATATTTTCCTCTGTGACGTCTACATCCTATAGGAGAAAGTAGTGGCGTGTGTGGCCGTGTCCTCTAGTTTAGCCATTATATATTCTCAGATTTTGTCAAATAACGCGCCTTCACGCTTCTGCTAAAGCATATCAGTCCTGCTTCCGCAAAATACGCCAGTGGCAATACCATGTGACGTTGAAAACGCCGGTTCTTCCCCGATCACCAAGTTAAGCAACATTGGATATGGTTAGTACTGGAATGGGTTTCCGTCTGGGAACACCACTTGTTGTTGGCATTCCTTATAAGCCGATCATAGTGACCGTGCGTTCTAAGACATGAACTGTCTTCAGTCGCTCAAATGCTGGGATTGTAGGTTCGAATCCCATTCGAGTCATGAACGTCTGTATTGTGTGCCTTTATTCTGTGTTTGTGTTGTTCTGTGTGTATGTAGAGGCCTTGCGATGGGCTGATCCCCCGTCCTAGTAGTTTTATCGACTGTGTACAGGATCAAGAGACCGAAATAGCGGCCAAGGCCCTACAAAGGGCTATAGAAACATAATAATAATCATTATCCCTTTTTTGTTATTGTAGTTCTGTTCAAAATAGAGTAATGTTTTTTTATAGTGTTACACACGATTCGTATAAAAACGTATTGCTAAATTTGAATCATCTGTCCTTTTGTTTATTAAATTTAATGATCATTTGAAATGAGGATAAAGGCTGCGACACATTAATCCTCATCTTTGTGAACTGTATTAACTAAAGTACGACACAAGCTTAAAATGTCTGAAGACAGAACTACATAGACACATGACAGAGAGAAACTAAGCAACCCAGCTTCACGTTTCCGTTTTACTCCATTGTACCTCCTTGGAGAAATTTAAATGCTTTTCAATTTTCTCAACGTTAAATATTTCACTCGCTGTCAGCCAGTTCCGGTCTATCAATTTTCTTTTGTACCCTCTACAATCTATGCTTCGATTCTCCTGGATGATCGGCCTACTATAGCATCCCATACTTAGAGAAATATTGACAGTATTTCTCTGCCGTGGAAAGAAGATAGAGTGATTGTAATTTAATTAACTTGCTAAAAAGAAAGAAGTTTATGCATATTTAAATATAACTTATATCTTTACTTTTTACACACAAGGTTTTAATATATGCATTTTATAATTTTATTTTCTGAAGAAATATTTGAAAATGTGTGCACTTTCCAGACTCTTATTTCGAAATGACGCTCACACCGTCGCTGGAACTTACCTACCCCCAGTTATACGCCAAGTTGCGAGCTCGAGGAAAAAAACCGTTTTCGTAGAGGCGATTGGAAACGGGGAATAGAGCTTCAGAGAACTTCATGGTGGGTTTGAACACTGATGAAGAGTTTCAGCAAGGTAAAGCTGTCCCTGTACATAACACCACGCAATGGAGGGGATGTACCGATAAATCTCCGTCCGTTCTTAACCTAAGAAGACACGATCAGTTGTGTCCACAACTACCTTTGTACTCAAACGAAAGAGCCATGTGATCTCACTGAGTGTTAGGAGCGTGACCTCGGAGACGTCCTGAACTCGGTGGTGAAGAGGTAAATCTCATTGTCAGATCCCGCTAGTCTGCTGCACAGTCCCTTATTGCATTTAAAACAGGCTCAGTTCGTAAACTAATGTTAATATAACCCACGACAGAAGCGATTAGTGTTTACTTTGCAATGTTAATATAACCACAGATAGCGATTAATTTTTAATTTGTAATGTTAACGTAACTCGCCCCAGATAGCGATTAATGTTTCATATTTAACGTTAATATAACTCACCACAAATAGCGATTAATATTTAGCTTGAGGCCTACGTAACATGACTTTATGAAACGTACAAGGCCTATACTTTCTTCATACTTAAAATGTACCCGGTTCGAACTTCACCCGACGTCCGTTCAGGCTGAATTTGCCGTTTGGCAAACACAGGAAGTGTGTTGATGTCTGTGAGGCACGTCTTTGCAAGATATCCTTCTTCTGGGACATTCGGTGATCAATAAACTCAAAATCGAAAATGTTGAAAAAAATTTTGAATCTCTCTGAAGGAAATGTTTATGATGTTGCAAACTATTAACTCTTCATATTTCACAAACTTGATGATTATGATTTACATCTTGAGTTTGTTTTGTTTTCAAGTTCTGTAGCAATAAATCATTCCTAGATTTAAGAACGAAAAGTATGTTGTTATTATTTTAATTTTTATTACGATAAAAATTATTGTTATCACAATAATTATAATTATTGCAACAAATAACAACAATAATTATTGTTGTTATTTGTTGCTATTAAGTATATAAGTTTTTCAGAATCACTGTCTGTTGTTAATATTATAATTACAATTATTAATATTCATATGTGCTGTATATACATACATTCCTAATTTTAGTATTCATTCTTTTTACTTTACGCATCATTTCAATAATTAACCAGAAGAACAAAGATAGGGTGGATATACATAACACATGAAAGAAACTGGAAATGCTCATAAAATATAGGGATACTATGAAAATGTATCTTAGTGCTTCTTTCGGCGATATAAATCGGAATCTTTTTCAGAATAAATCCGAATTTGGGTTCTCGTGGTTGTGGCTGCGAAGAACACTTACATTCCATGGAACTGGACAATTACTTGCAGAGCTTAACTGACACTCTAAAATGCACTTAGATGAGAAAAGGGGCTTATGCTATATTCAAGTGGGGGAGGCTACAGGAAATCATAACTTAAAATTGAATTAGTAGGGACTGCAAGCAATACGTCAAAAACACGAAGAAATTTTACGGTTACAGGGACAAATGTCCCTTAGAAAGATGCGTGGGTCAGTTTAAAGATCCTGACATAGCGACCTGACTGCTTTGTTTTCTCTCTTCATAGGAAACGAGCGAATTGCCCTACGAGAAACGGATGCTTCACTCACATCTCTGACCGTGGACATTTGAGTGCGGACAGTAAGCAGACTACTGTGTGCGTGTGTGTGTGTGTGTGTTCGTGTGAGTGCGCTTTTCTTCAAGATCCTTAATCATAGGATAAATCATCCTTCGTCCAATTGCTATGTTTTAATTTCCATCAATAAGGAAGAAGTCTGTATTAAGGCTTTTAAAATTCATCAGGCCAATTGTTCTCAGGTTTGTAATATCGTGACCTAAAATAATATACCTATTGTACAAATTCATACGACCCCCCCCCAACCCCACCCCCCACCAATCTCTCTCTTTCAGCGAAAAGTACGGTTCCCCATTTTGATGCAGGTCCTTGTCAGGCTGTACGGTGACAGCAGGAACAAAAGTAACTTCACATGCATTAAGCTGTCATACTAGGCAGACTGGTAATTAAGGAGTCTCTACTACAAGGTGGTGTGTGGAAGTTGCTTCTTAGAAGTTCTGCAAAAAGAGCGATCATGATATAATCTTGAATTAGGAAAACTTAACTAAAGTAGTCCTCATGAAGACCATGTTTATATTTCTACATTACACAGAAGCAGGTCGTACAGTGTTCATAATAACCTGTGTAATCTCTTGCTTTGGTGTATTCCATGCGTGACAGTTTAATTTCGTGCCGTTATGTTGTCATCACAGTATAATCAGAAGAATCTCAAGTAGCCTGACATATAAGGTCAGGCATGCCTGCTGAAGACCAGAATTATGAAGCCAGCCGAGTCAGCCGTTGCTAGGTAACGGCTCTGTAACAGGCAACAACGGAGTAACTCTGGGAAGCTGTGCTTTCAGCATGGTCCTTGCCGATAGCTGTGTCATGCAACAATAGAAGAACTGTTGGAAGATGTGTTTTCTGTGGGGGTCTGTGAAGAGGCTCTATAACAAGGAGCGGTCTGCAGGCAGTCTAGAGAAGTCTAGATAGAGTCCTAAGACGGCAGTCAGAAGAGTAGGAGGTTGGTGTGAGATGGCCCCCAGCCTGCGAGGACGTGAGCCTGGGAGCAGAGGAACGTCCACTGTTGGAAGACGTTACCAAGCAGAGCAGTGATGACCGTTACTGAGAACACCAGTCTGTGTGTGATAGTGATTTTTACAATGTAGACATAAGCTGTGTTCAGTAAATAGGATTACAAATCCAAATTCTCTCTGCCGTCACACTTCCTGGTGAAGCTGTAAAAATCTGTCTTGGTTGGACCAATATGGATCAGGCTTTTAACCGGAAGTTCTTGAAAATGATGGCGAATCATTAAAAATTTCACGAAGATAGGCGTAACAGAAACGGTACTTTTCTTATAGTAGATCGAAAATCTAAAGGCAATGGCAAAGAGAAGAAGCCAAAATTGATAGCCATTTTAACATTTTGTCTTATTTATTATAAGAATGGATTGAAATAAAATTATTGTGTTCCTGGACATTATCCACTGCCCCGTTTATATTTAAAACAACGCATAATAATTCGGAGAGTGGATTCTGACTCCTTTTTCAGGTGGAACCTTCTCAGCTGGGCCCAATCGATAAAGCTAGGCTTTAACTCCGGACACCAGCAGGAACACAAGACACTTTATATAAAGTTAACACAGCATAAACCACCTGCGAGAGTTAAGACAAACTTTAAAATCATTAATCAACAAACTTTTAGATCTTATGGCTGGAAATTGTTCGTCAGATCTAGGTAGACACTCGAAGTCGGAAGGAATGGCCAATATAAATTATAATTAAATTATTAATAAGCAGGTTTTGGGAATGCCTTCCTACATGTATCGCTTTTGGGAATGAGAGCTGTGAAGTTTTAGAGCACTGGATGTAACACGCCACTTCCTTCAAGTGAAAGGGCTAGGTAATTCCGACTTTTGTATGGGTTGCACACGATGGGGATTTTAAAAAGCGATATGGTAATAGTCTTTATATGTTAAGTTTCCAGCAATACTTTGCGACACTATATGCTAGAATGATTTTGTCACAAATAAAGAAGATCTGTTATAATGAATTCTGTGCCTCACGCCACATCTTTACTTTCTCGGGCCCCAACGCTCCGAAACTGACACCATTGATTATGAGCATTTCCTGTGTTGCACATAGCAGAGCCATCTAGCAAACGAAGCACGCAACAATAATACCACAAAACTAACATAGATAGCAGCTAACTACATACTTGACTATACGTTAAATTTCAAAAGAACGGTAAGGAATATACAAGCGTGAATTGCTGTTTAAAAATAAACAGCAACGTCGGTGTTTCCTGCGGTAGTATTCCAGTGGAATATGGATACGAGTATTCACAGTTCTAGTTCCTAATGTTGTGTCTTCCAGACAAGAAAGTTTGCAAGCTTTTTTTAATAAATACCACACCGTTGAAATACTCGTCTACGATTAGAAATACACATTTTAAAGCAACATTGTAGAACATCGCGAAATTAACACAAGCATAAACACATATGTGAATGGATAAGTTCATGGAGGTAGGCCTAGGCCCACTGGGGCTGTAGTGCCAAGGAAAAAAGAAACACATGTATTATAAACGTTGGGAGTTACTATGTGCCCATTTCACTTATCGCATCATCACTGCAAAAACTGATGCATTTAACACTTTAAGTAGATCCGTGAGAGGAGCTATATTGCAAAATTACGCAATCGCTCCAGAATATATTTCTTATTTCGCTTAACATGCAAGGAATATCACATAACGCAACATATTAAATCGAATTTCTATCTTGTCAGTAGTTGAACGGCGAAGAATACATTTGAAAGTTAATTGTGCTACATAGATTACAGTTGTCTGTCTGCCATATACTCACTGATGATGTCCACTATGAAGGTCTCGTCAGGTTGTCGTCGCCGCATGAGTTTCTCAGTAAACGTGAGCATGTCATTGCTGCAGTTAGTATTCCCTGTTTAATTCTGGATCGAAAATCCGCTTCGTGTTTTCTCTCTCCTTCTATATACTTATAGAAAAGGCGTTTCAAATTAAGCCACTGAATTTAATTTCCATGAAATCAATTAATTTTTCTTAATTATATATCGTGTCGGTGTTTTATAATATATCAATTTAAAACAACGCCTTAAAATTGACTGGGATATTATCACAAAGGAACGGTTATACTTTCATATGAAATTGATTGAACTCAAATCCCAAGGATAGTATCACAGCTCCCAGTAACTCGGTTTAACTTTACATTGGTATAATCTTGCGTTCTGCCGAAACAACTCATTTAGAAATTTACCAGTCTTGTTGTGTTCTTGTAGGCACGGTGCGCATCCCGCTGCAGATGGGTTCCACGGAACCCCCCGCTGCCACCACTCACTGCCCGGTGTCCGACACCAACTATTCCACATTCCGAAGCAAGCGATGGCGTTCCAACGGTCACGA